CTGAATCAACAGAAAAACCCACTGGGGAAGGGGAGGTATTCTCAGGTAAGAGGTATGGCCTGACTTTGTCTATGTGAGAAAAGGAAAGTCAACCATCTTGACATTTTATTCATATACATAGGAAACTTGAATGGATATGTTTTTCTCACTAAATTAATAACAGTCCAACCCCTTTATTTCACAGGGGGGCAGCCTAAGGCTCAGAGAGGTTGGGTGAATTGGTCCAGGTTACACAGCTGAGAAGGTGCACATGCAGTACTCTGCCGTAGAGTTTCTGATTTCTATTTTGGGATTCTTTCTAGTCACACAATTCTGCTTCTCGCTTCTTTGTTTTAATACATGAACATAAATATAATACTATTACTAGGCTAGGAGCTACTTGAGGGCAGGAGCTGAGTAATATTAAAAATAACAATAGCAGCAATATATGCATAATACTTTATAGTTTGCAAGATATTTACACAAACATTAGCTCACAATCATGTAGGGTCAGTATTTTTAACAGTCCTTTTTATTTTATTTATTTTGCTAAGGCGATGCTTTTATTTTGCAGTTGAATAAAGGAAAGTCTGGCTCTAATATTTTCACATTTAGAAACAATGCTAGGTTCAATAACTGATGCTGAAACAACTGAACATCCACATGTAAATGAATGAATCTAGAAGCAGATCTTACACCTTTCACAAAAATTAACTCAAAATGGATCACAGATTTAAATGTAAAACACGAAACTATAAAATTCCTATAACATAGAAGAAATCTAGATGACCTTGGATATGGTGATGACTTTTTAGATACAACACCAAAGGCATGATCCACGAAAAATAATTGATAAGCTAGACTTAATTAAAATGAAAAACTTCTGCTCTGCAAAAGACATTGTTGAGAGTAAGAAGCCAAGCCACAGCCTGTGGGAAAATATATGCAAAAGACACATCTGATAAAGAACTATTACCAAAAAAATACAAAGAACTCTTAAAACTCAACAATAAGAAAAGAAACAACCCAATTAAAAAGTGGGCCACAGGCCTTAACAGGCGCTTCACCAAAGAAGGTATACAGATGCAGATAAGCATATGGAAAGATGTACCACATCATATGGAGAAATGCAATTAAAACTGAGATACCACTACACACCTATTAGAACGGCCCAAACCCAGAACACTGACACCACCAAATGCTGGTGAGGATGTGGAGCAACAGGAACTCTCATTCATTGCTGGTGGGACTGCAAAATGGTACAGCTACTTTGGAAGACAGTTCGGTGATTTCTTAAACAACTTACCATGTGATCCAGCAATCATGCTCTTTGGTATTTACCCCAAAGAGTTGAAAACTTATATCTACACAAAAACCTGTACATGGATGTTTATAGCAGCTTTTTTCATAATTGTCCAAACTTGGAAGCAACCAAGGTGTCCTTCAGGAGGTGAATGAATAAATAAACTGTGCTACATCCAGATAATGGAATATTAGTCAGTGCTAATAAGAAAGGAGCTATTAAGCCATGAAAAGACATGGATGAATCTTAAATGCATATTACTAGGTGAAGAAAGCCAATCTGAAAAGGCTACATACTGCATGATTCCAACTATTTGATGTTCTGGAATAGGCAAAACTATGGACACAGTAAAAAAAGTCACTAGTTGCCAGGGGTTTTGGGGTGGGGAGGGATGAATGGCAGAGTAGGATTTTTAGGGCAGTGAAAATACTCTGTATGGTATTATAATGATCGACATACGTCATTATACATTTGTCAAAACCCAAAGAATGTACAAGACCAAAAGAGAACCCTAATGTAAACTATGATTACGATGTCAATGTAGGTTCATCGACTGTTACAAAGCACCATTCTGGTGGGG